AAGGACTGTACACTCAACGAAGCAGCATCAAACAACAGTTGCCAGGCATATTCTTTGTCAATGAGTGAAACAACTGGTTGACCTTTCGTCTTGGTCAAACGCCGTACTTTTAACCACAGTCTTTTGAACAAGCCAGGTGTTTTGGAGGGAATTTTGCACTTCACCGGGCGATATCCTGTAGCTTTCTTGGCAAGGAAGCGCATGACAAAAGGGTGGTTTAATCGCGGCTGCCATTGGTCTATGAGCAAGTGCTCATGCACCCAAGCTTGTTTAAACGAAGAATGACCACACAGCTTCAAGGTAACGAAGACGTGGTAGTTGCCCGTGTTGGCCCAGTATCGAATTGCTGGTTCCACATGCACGAACTGCCCTGATTTGACTTGCTTGATTTTCGCCCTGCGATTGCTTTCACGCTGCGCAACCTGTAACGCAGTGGACCCAATGTAAAGCCACTTGTTTCGTTGCCGAAAAACTTGCTTCCTGGAATGCATACCTGACCAATCAAACGGTGCCTTCAAGTAAACTGCACACGGAGACATGAACCAGTCGAATGAATAATTGGCTGGCTCAACGTTTAACGCACGCAGTCGTTCAAGCATAATCTGTTCAGGAGAAGAATTCCTGGAAAAATGAAATACCCATACAAGAAACATGAGTCCCTGCACCCACAATGCATATGCTTTGTCCACTGCCGGAATGCAATGAAGTACCACGGTACAAAATTCTGCCAGCACAATAGAAAGCTGACGTAGCTTCCTAGCTTCATGGCCGAGCAGTTGCTCAGAAGTGGGCCTGTTGGTAAGTCAGGCAGCAAGAAACACGGCTACTGCAATGCAACTGCTCAGGGATTTAACGCCCATCTTGTTGACAACGCTGACGGGGAGTCCGAACTTGACGACGATGCTTTGGGCTTCCTTCTTGTCGATGCTGAGCTCTGAAAACTTCTTGTTGATGTAATCAACATGATCGTTGAACTTGCTGAAGTCTCCCATCAACTGCTTCTTGAACGACTTGACCCAGGTTTGAACGTCTTGCTCGTTGTATCCCTTTGGAGGCTTGTATTTCTTGAGAACATCCGCCGGTGTTTGCTGAATGGCATGCTTGACTTCTTGCGTAGTTTGTGGTGCGAATTGCGATGGGGGGGACGGTTCTGGGAACACCAGTGCTGCGCTGCCACCTGGTTGGGATCCTAATTGGGATGGCTTGGGTTTGGCTGGCGAAATGGCAACTCCTGCATCCTGAAGTTGTGCTCTACGCTTGGCTAGTTCGCTGCGTAACTGTTCAACTTGATGCAAATCAGCAACTGCTTGTTGCTCTGGTTGATGCTTCTTGAATACCTCGAGGATCTCCTTAACGAGGGGCTGGAAGAGCGCGACTGTCTTATCTGTTTTTGAAGGAACTTCTTGTCCTGGATTGCTGGCTTTGTATGCTTGCATGGCGGCTGCATCAATGTCAACCTTCTCTTGCCTAACACATGACAAAATTTGACTCACCACGACGGCTTCTGCCACACTGCGCGCAAACAGCACTGACGTGAATCTGCCATGACTGAGTAATCGGAGCGCGTGCTCCTCTGGGCCATGGTAAGCCAGCTCTGCACACGTGACGGAAAGAGGGTCTTTGCCTGCAATGTTTTTCTTCCTGCTCCAAGCTGTTGCCTCCACGGTCTTGCGGAAGCTGATTTTGCTTTGCCCAGTGGTAACATCATAATGCCACTCATCTGAAACAAAACTGGAGGGCACAACCATATGATGTCCAGTGGATGCTTCTGGAGCCTGATGACTCTGATGACCTTGCTGATGTGCATCTGATGCTTTGTGCTGCTGATTGTTGGCGCCTTTACCTGATTGTTGCCATCCGTGGGGCTCCCACTGAGAATACGGGCCGTACCTCCAGTTCGCTCCAGAGGAGTTGCCCCATTTACCGTACCCATGGTAAGTGTCATACTCTTTCTCATTCCACCATTGGCTCATGGCTGGTTCTTTACACAGCTACGGCAGAAAAGAAGTAAAAACACCCCTCACTCTGCATGAACAGTAAGGTCGGCGCACAAGACTCGAACGATGTGCATGGCAAACTGGCACTCAAGTCACGCAAGCACACAAACATGGAAGCTCATTATTTTTTGCGGCTGTGACTGATGAAACCGTTTGTTTGACTGTTACTGTGGGATATTAAAGGTCCTTGCCCCAAAACCTGATGATGCCTGTGATCACAGTTTGACTGGATCGAACTTTCCATCTGCCGTCTCTTGCACGGCAAATGTCACGGAAAGTGGAGCACGCAAGGTCGGAAACCACCCCTCCTTGAGGTAACCGAAGAAATCCATTGCTTGTGAATGCTTTTGCTTGTATACACCACGGTCTCTCAGACTGAATTCCCCCATACTTCATGGCCTGCATGAGCGCGATTGACTCTGAATCGGGATGACCCCTGCAGTAGAAACTCGGACATGGATTCCAGGACATATCGTCAAGGGAGAAGTTGGAAGGGCGAAGAACATTCTCCATCAGAATGTAATTGACGGATTCGTTCTTTGTGTTGTGGCAAACCCAGAAAGAAGCTTTCTCATGCATCGATAACAGCTGTGCAGGAATGTGCATCATCACTCGGAGACCACATGCACGATCCTCTTGAAGAAGAACTTGCACTGAACGAACGCAAGCTTCTTTATTGGTATGTAAAAACATGTCTGCCATCTTCCTCAACTGTGTCAAGGTTTGCCAGGTCAACGGCAGCTTCGAAGGACGTGAGCTGCCAGGGTCAGAAATGTCTACGAAACACAAAAGGGAAATCATCCACTGTACCATGAGCTCAACAAGACCGGTCGCTGGGGCAACGCAGACACGAGAACAAACATTAGAATGACGAAGCTTTTTCACTTCTTCATTGCATGGAATGCGACCATCACGTTTGATCATCTGCTCTCGAACGGTGCGTAGGACAAATGATAACGACCAATAAGGAGCATCTTTGTCATGGAAATCGAAAGTCTTATCTCCAAACCACACCTCCACGCTCTGAAGAACTGGCCATACGTAGAATTCCGGATTGGGCTTCCAAGGAGTCTCAATGGCTTGCCAATGAACCGCTTCTCTAGGCTCTGGCTCCGCAGGGTCATCCTGATTGAGACGGAATTTCAAACTGGAAACGATTTCAGAATGGTTCTCCTGCTGAATGTTCATGAGAACGATGGGTGACTGCATACCTGATCTGTCTGGAACAAGGAAGAAATCTGCAACCCATGTTGTGCCAGAAGCATGTTCTTTCTGCCTGAAGCTGAAAAACTTGGCTTGTAATAGAGGTTGATGACAAAGGGTGAGTGGGCACATCGCGTGTGCTTTGGATGTCGTTCCATCCGGTGCCGCCATAGAATGCGAACTTTGTGTACAAGACGACCTTGTAAGTGCCGAGCCACTTGTAAGAGGCGCGCCGAATGAAAGGCCCGGGCCAGACGTAAGGCTCATACCATGTGTAAGACCCATACCAGTTGTAAGCCCACTGCAGGCATGACTGCTCATGTTCATTGGGAACATCGACGGACAGAACAAAGCACCCAAATAAGGATATGCCCTAGGATCGTTGACTTCAAGTCGAATCGTCTGTCCGCTGAGCGTTACAACCACTCCAGGTTGTAACTGCTGTATGTTGCTCGGTGGCATCATCGGAGGCGCTTTCGGCAGTGGGTGTCGTTGATCCCCATGTGGAACTATACTAAGATCAATGTCCATTGCTTGGCGCGACAGATCGAATTCAATGCTTTTCAGGCAAACAGGGTTGCCGAGTCAATGTAGTTGCAGCTAATGGTGATAATGAGGCTACAACACATATGAGACCAAATGAAAGGATCATGAACAAGATCTTGATCTTGACTTTTGATCTTGACTGTTTGGTATTCGCTGGTGATTGAATCAAAGGATCATGTGGTCTTGAATCATGTACCTTTTGAGAACTCCAGGCTGATCGAGAAGGCAGGACAGATCAGTGTGAATACCTGCTTCTTCTATGCATGTAAGGAGAATCAGTTTCACCAGGGCTACCCCCGGAGGACACGGCGCCCAGAGGGAAGGCCGTTGTGACACACTCAGAGAGGTGATCTGTCACGCCAATTCGTGAGCTGATCTTGCTGAGAGTAGTAAAATACTCTCCCAATGAGGCTCGCACTGACCACTACAATGCACTTAAAGATCTCTGCACTGCAAGTGCGAGCGTTAAGATCGCAACCAGTGTACAGCTGACAGGATGCACTGTGTCACAAGCATAGCAGGTACACATCAGGACGTCTCCTGATGCATCACCAGAGACTGCGGGCGTCTTCGTTGGCAGTGATCCCACAGACTCTGTCACTGCCCCCTGCATTCTAAGCACTCTCAGCGGGACATATATCCCATTTACCCACGCTTGTTGGGATACTCTACGGGTGGCCGCTGCTCGTGGACACCTTTATGTGGTGAACATACGCACTTGTTCACTACAGCATCTTCCGTCCCGTATGTTCGATTCTTAGACTGGCCCTTGGATACAGGGTGTGTCTCTCACACACACACATGTAGATCCCGGTCGATGCCGGTTGTCGTTTCTCTTCTCTTCGAACTCTTTCTTCTCTGTCACTTCTTCCTCTTCGCTTCAAAATCTCATTGACTAATATGAAGGCCTCCGGAAGCTGCTTTTTTAAGATTTTGGAAGGTCTCATAATGTTAGATGAGCGATACAATCGATAGTTTGAATCTCAAGACTCAAGTTATTGATATCGCAAACGATCATCCGAGTGAAACTTGCAGCAGGTACAAAGCTATGCGTCCATAGCTCCTTCCACCTATTCCGCTAGCTTCGTTGGCTTCAAAAACAATGTTTACCGAGAATGTTACGACTCAAAATCCTTGGAGACATGCACACACGCACACACACACACAGACACACACACACACACGCACACACACACACACTTTTTGCATGCGGGTGCGCCACACGAGATCCCCACTAACACTGCACCAAGACGCCGATGTTGCAGCAGCGACATGCAGGAGAGGACCATCTTTGTAGCCCAGCCTGTCAACAGGATTCGAAGGCTGGTGGGGCTTAAAGCTAAGGTGCCACATCCAATTGCCCAAGCCCAAAGCCTTGAACACGACAGCTTCCGGTATCGGATGCACTCGAACTACCTACACCAACCACCAACACATTCTTTCTCTACCCCAAGTGACAAGGGATAAGTCCTGGCAGCCCAGGCACCGCCGCCCGGCAGATTTCGTGCCATCGTAGCCTCGTGGTTTTCGGATTTGCAAACAGAATAACAAAGCGCAGTTCGACGTGTCCGCCAGCGATGCTGGCCCACGCATCCAAACCCAGGCACCGAACATCTGCCCGGCCGTCAGCAACGCGCCACGAAAAATGAGAGGGGAACAGCCCCGCCAGTAGTCGCTCAGGTGCACCTCTGCCACTAAGTTTAACTGCAGGTGGTTTCAAGAACTGACCCATGTCTTTGACGGGAGCTGTAGCTCGAAAAAAGGGTAATTCTTTGGAAAGCATGGAGGCGCGGGGTAGATGTGCACGGCTGTAGAAGCGCCATCGGCAGCAAATTGCGCTGCGGCCTTGCAGCTTCGCGGAAACTTGCTGACTGCTGACTGGATCTTGATGTTCCCAGTAAATGGAGCGGGGCCGTCATGCCCCGTACGAGCTACAAAAACTCACGCGCGTGTTGGACAAAATCGACACAAAGGTTGTCCGGTTACCGCTTGTGCACAACACTTTCACCACGAGCTCGAAGCCTGGAAGAAACTTCCCTGGCTTTCCCACCGACGCCTGCATTCGTGTCTTCACAAGCCAGAGAGGGGCTCCGGTGAAGTAGGCAAACGACCTGCGCCAAACGAAGGGAAGATGCCGAGGCGATACAACGCAAGAGCAGGTCTGGCCCTGACATCAAGCCGGCACCGATCATGGCTGCACTGGACTTCTGCCCATCGCTCGGCAGCAAAGTCTGCAGGGCATCCTGAAGTGAAAGGTACACTTGCAGAACCGCAACCAGCACATTCTTGAGACTTCGTCTGGACCACTGCCTTCCCCTATGTGCAACCCTGGTTAAGGGCCATCTTTCGGGCGAGCGGCTCGCGCGGTGGGGTATAGGCCCATTCTGAGCCCTTGGGACACAGCCACGGCGCACCTGAAATCTCTTGCTCCGAACAAGACTTGAACTTCACCGGAAAGGAAAGCCGTACAAAAACAATCAAGTCAAACGGAGGGAACAGAGAGCGAAAACTTTTGACCCCGTGGCTCGAAAGCCATTATCTTCGAGAGTCGGCCTGTCAGCCTAGCATGCACTATGGGGCTTTATCTAATGTTACACGGCCCTTCTCACTACTGCGAAGCACACCCACTTTTAGCAACTCTGGCAACAATGCGAGACGGCCACCCTGAAGTACAACGGCGAGGGCTACCTGCTTGCGGGACTCGCAGGAAAACCTTGCTTGCAAGAAGGCAAAGGATTGACTTGCATCTCCTACTAACGATGCCAGGATGCATCACTACAACCTCGAGCGAGCCCAGAAACACAGAACCAAATAACACCTTGACCCCACGCAAAGCCTTAATAGTCAAGAGTTGCCGAAGGGCATGTTGAAAGGAAGCCCCGGTCTCCACAAGCCCTGCCAGAGGCCCTCTTTTCGAAGCAGCTCCTGAAAGCAAAAGGTTTGCAGGAGTTCGTGCGTGCAGCAGCAAGATCCGGAAAATACATTAAACCACCCGGAAGACCCCAAACTGTTGAAGCCGCCCAAAGCAATGCCTGGCCTTGACTTCAAGAGCCTACATGAAGGGAGACAACGGGAGACAAGGGTCCGGAAATCAACGAGAACCCGAGACCAGCCCCACTGGTCCCAAGTGAGGGCAGATAATGGACAATGGGGACGCAAGTGTGGAAAACCTCGGCGTTGGCCGCCAGGAGCGGTCCCAAATGACTTCGACGAGGAGAAACACAAATTATTTAGCTTCTTTCAAGAAGGTTGGCTCCTGCTTACCCAATTTCTAGTCCCTGTCAAGAGGCTTGCTCTTCTTTCTCTTCTCAAACCTTTCGAAATCGTTTCGACTGCGCTCCTGCTTTCTCAGGTGCTCCTCTTTCTTAGCTCTTTCGAGCGTTGTTGCACCTGGTGTTTTCAGGTTTTTAGTCCCTTTCGACTGGCTCGCTCCTCTTTCTGACAGTATCCTCGCTCTGAAATGCTCTAGGTACTTTCGAATCGTTTGCTCCTTCCTGCTTGTCAAAAGCTGCTGTTTGTCAAATTCTCGTGTGCTCGTGCAGATGTCCAAATCCTGGCTCGACTCGCTTGCCCCTTTGCCAGACACTCGTGTCTGTTTCGCATCGGCTTTTCGATTCGACTTCGACTGTTTGCTCCTCTTTCTCCTACATTGCACCCTGTCAAACTCTCTAGAAGCTTCTCTATTCTTGTCCGAGTCGTTTGTTCCCGCTTCTCAGATGTTCGGATACGCTTCGACTTTTTCTGAGGCCGTGCACGTTGTCAAACACTCTACAACATTCGGCAATCTCTCTTGTGCTTGTAGTTATGTCTGGTAAGTTTCGACTGGCTTGCTCCTCATTCTCAGCTTCTCTTGTGCATAACCTGCTCTGCATAGTCTCATCCAATCACTTTGCTGTTGTTTCTCACATGTCTAGTCTGCTCCTCATACGCAAACTCGGGAGTCCATGGCGACCGGTTTGGTTCAGAAGACGCTTTCCAAGCAACTGGCCCCTCACACATATTGAAGTCCCTTTGAAATTGCTATGCTCTTCTGAATCACATTCTTCCTTGTCGAACCCGATCACCTCCTTGACTCCTTATACAATCTTTTCCCTTCCACTGGGTTTCCCGTTTCTCACATTCTCCGCATTGGCATTCTCTTGTATCTCTCCTCTTTTTCTTGAGTTTCCAAGCTTGTTCCAGCGTTTCCGCAGTCGCAATGGGGCGGTTTGTTCTTCTTTCTCAACTCCCCCATCTTTGTCGAGTTTGCTGCTGTTTCTCCAGGCTGCCTAGTCTCTTTCGAGCGGTTTGCCTCTGCCTCACAATTCTTCTAGCACCTTTCGAGTGATTTGCAGACTCTCCCTTTGTGAAAGACACTAGTCTCTTGAAAAAGGCTTGATTTGTCGAGTCCCTGTCGTCACACTCGGAAGTATCTTTTGAACACCGTGCTACTGTTTCTCAAGATTCCATACAGGGGCCACCCAGCCCTCCCTCCATGTCCTGTTCGATTTGGATGCTCCTCGCTCCCAAACTATCCTCTTTCGTCTGTCGTTCACTGCGGTCTTTTAGATGCCCAGTCCCTTTCGATGGACTTGCTCCTCTTCCTCAAAGTCTCTTCGTTCTCACATTCACCAGTCTTCTCTGTCAATTTGCCCTGTCTGTGTCTAGCGTCTGCTTTCTCAGGTTCTCTCGTCTCCTTTGAGCTCTTGTTCCTTTCTCTCACAGTCTTATTGTCGCTTTCGACTGGTTTGTTCCTCGTTCTCTCATTCTCCTCTTTTCCAAACTCTCCGTCCTGTCGCGCGTTGTGGTTTTGCTTTTCAAACTGCCTAAACCCTCTTCAACTGGTTTGCTCGCCTTTCTCGAACTATCTTGTTTGTCACATGCTAAAATCTTTTCTGTCTCTCAAGTTATCATCTCTTGCGACTGACTTTCTCCTGTTGCTCAAGTTTGCCTCTCTGCCATTTTCTCCAACGTTGCTCGAGACCCAGCCCCGCCATTGCATCGCCAAGGTGCGGCAGAGAACTTGGCGAAAGTGGTCTCTCCGACTGAGACTTGCCAGCGTATTCGGAGGCAGTCGGCGGGATTGAAGATGGCCTTGGCTGCACCCAACATGCTCGGCTCGTGTTGGCTTTCAAACCTGCAAGAAGCGCCCAAGCCAGGTCCTGGTAAAGACTACGACCCGCTGCACTCTTCAACCTTCGATGCTAGTCGCTGGCCAGGTGCAGGCTGCACCCAGCCAGCCATGGCCGCCGCCAATGTGTTGCGGCCAATGTCGTCCGGGGCCATGGGGGCGAGTGCGACTTTTTGTTGGAAGATGCCCTTCAGAGGGGACGAGGTCCAAGTGGCTTTCGATAGTCCTGGAAAAAGCATGGTGACGAAGGCTACCCAGCATGGCAAAACGATCCGCAAAGGCGTGACACCTTTAAGATGCAACAGATCAGCGGCTGCTGGCATTGTGCCTCACGAGTTGGCAGGGCACCCGCCGGCCATCGCCAACCTATCTAGCAGTTAAGCACTAAGTCACTAGGCTCCTGACAAAGGACCTTGAAGCTCGGCAGCTTTTCTGGGATGAACTATTCAAGCTATGAAGTGTCAGGTGCCTCACTCCAGCTGATCCTGTCCATTGGATCCTGAACTCCTTGAGTGTTGAGGCACGAGACAGTTCTTGTCAGCCGCCGTCTTGTGCGGCAGCAATGTCAGCATCGTTAACCGCAGCCATACTGGCTGGAAGCACTACGGCGCACCATGTTCACTGAGTCCCAAAGCTCGTGCTTAAACTCAACGGTGCTGCACGTTGAGCCGTCCGGTCTACACCCGGGAAGTGTCATCCCACGAGCTCTCATTGAGGAGCCGATCCTTAGCCGAGGCATTCTCCAGCAGCTTCAAGTGGACTCTTGTGGGACTCACTGTCGTCAAATCAGAAGTTCGGTGACTACACTGCTCTGGACGGTGCCGATAGGTGCCGATATTAACATGACCGGTGAGAATCAACGGAGGCCATCGAACCTTCTATTCTGCCACACGGCCCCTTCAACTCCATATGCCTACAACTGTCTGGCAGTAAAATCCCGTCCTGCACCCGGTCGCGGGGAACTTGAGCCTGAGGAGGGACGAGCTCGTTCCGACTGAACCCCCTTCTGCAAAGCACGACTCTCAGGACTCCGGTAGGACATGTCCTACAGGTCGGGCCCAAACTGAAACAAACGCTTCGTCAGAATGCCACACAGTCTGCGGACGCATTGCGGAGCTTCCCGAAACACACCCCCACGAATAGCATGAATAGCATCACAAGGCCACTCAGAGCCTCCAAACGCCTGAGCCGGATGTGCCCGTGGAGCGTGCACTCCGCCCCGTCGGAGGATCGGAGTGGAAAGGGGCCCTCCACAAAGCCGCCTGCTTGAGACGGTGAGTTGAAACTTCACCGACAAAGGCGAAACAACGGCCAACGCCAACACAGACACAACTCCTCCGGTGAGCGGACCGCAGATCTCCAGTAGACCTACGCACATCGCCAGGCCTCCTTGGACCACCGCATCCAGACTGGCATCGAATCGCGCAGTGCTGGACCCATCCTCTCCTCCAATAACCAGCAGGGCTTGGGCTTTTCGAGTGTTGATGTTGATCACTTGATACCCTGCTGAAACTACACATCCTAACGGATGCGAGAGGTGCCACTAGCGTCGCATTCTACCAGACCTCAAAGGTGCAATCCGCGGTGTCTTCCTTCTTAGTTTCTGACGGTTCTCATCCTTTCCAGTCAGGAAGTAAGTCCAGGAAGTTGAAGATTGTGAGTATTGCGGGGCTTTGAGCTCAACACGTGTCCCACAAGCTCGATCATCAGTTGGTCTGTCGGCTTTGCTCGCAGATGGCAAACCTTGGACCACGGCGCCGGCTTGAGTCATGAAGTACAGCTACGAGTACCAGCTTAGCTCGAGGATGAAATTGAAGAACCAACGCTTCAAGACAGACCGGCCGATCGACCCGTGCAGTTCTTTGGAGCTCTGTGGCCCTAAGCCCCATGCATCCTCTCTAATTGAATCCCAGCGTTAAACCTAGGGTTCGCTTGCTGTACTGCCTCTGCCTATGGAGGACAGCATGCCCTCTCTTCCTATTCGTCCACTCACCAGATGGAAATTTGACTCCCTACCATAAGATGTCGACTCATGGAAGGACAGACTAGGCCGAGGGACGTAGTCGAAATGTGGGTTCCTTGGCAGTTCTCAGCTTCGGGCCGATGCAAAGGAGTTTTCCAAGCATCTGACTAGTGAACTAGTGACGAAATGCAGCGTTGAAGAGTCAAGGCCCCGAAGGCTTGGAGGTTTTTGCCAGCATCGCTACAGATTCGGCCGTAGGCCCAAACCGCCTGATTACCAGCACGTGGTTTGTGCGAGACCATCTCCGGTAAACGCTGACGATGGCAAACATGGCCCTGCCTCCCGCCGTCGTAAGACCCCACTGCCCTTGAAATCTGAAAGCCTCTCACAGGCGAAGCTGCCTGATGGCCGCTCGGTCCTGAGCAGCCTGGCGAGCACGCTCGCACCAACTGCGATCCCAGCCTTCCAGATGTTAAGCTAAAGTCGCTCCAGGATGTAAACTGAGAATAAGGTTGTGATTCACATCACGGCAGGGGATCTGCAGGGCTGGGCAACCGGAGTCGCTGATTGCTAGGCTAAGGTTGTAGTGCTTTCATTAGCAGAGATGACAGCCGGGTTTGGGGAATCGCGTGGCTAGGCTTGGGGGCATGATTCGGGCATCTTGCAATGAAGGCTCCGATGCGTTAAGTCTTCTGACGCATCCACCCGCTGCCGCATGCGCACATGAGCCCGTTGGCACCCGGCAAGGCACGTGCAATCCCGAGGCCGCTCGGAACACCGCGTCATACCGAGCAAACGCCTGCCTTGCAGGCCAGGTGCGTTCAGCTCCTGGGCCAACTAGCAGGTGCAGGGCCGAGCAGCTCCCGTCTTGTAACAAGGACGCAGATTGGGGTCGCCGACACAATTCAGGGGTTGGGATTGCAACGATACCTCACTAGGCATCACGTACGGACCTTCGCGAAGCCTCCGTCCATGCACACACTGCCGTGACAGTTGCTGGTACTAGCCTGTCGTGCAATCGCGGACTTAGTGATGCTGACTGTAGACAAACAATATGAGCTCCTCTGAATACGAGATGGTGTCCCAAACGGGCGTGGACCCTCCATGCCATTAGCCCTTCAGCCTGTACGCGGTTCTAGACGAGCGACGCCACTTCGGCGACGGCGCTCCACCTCCCGAGCAAAGTCTCGGGCATGGTCCACAGGGACACCGAGTGCCTCAGCTAAGGACTTCAGAAGGCTTCAGATACAGGGAGACCCTAGAAAAAAGGCATGTCGCAAGTCTTTATGTACTCATTACCACGTTGCGGCATTCGGGGATCCCGCTGCTAGGTCCGTTCATAGTCAGGCGCCGCTACGTAATGCCGCGTAACCTGACATCCTCTCGTGCCCTGTCATGTCATGCCATGCCATGTCATGTTATGTCATTTCATGTTGTTGCGTGTGTACACATTTATGTACGTACATATGTATTTACGTATTTTTTATGATCAGCTACCAGCCAATATGCCCAAGATAGAACCGCTGGGGTTGGCGTCCCAATGCCCTACGAAGGCATACGTGTAAACAAGCTTGTTTGCACGTTCGTTTCGTTCATTCACAATCACCCATGCTTGCGTGTACATATTTGTTTACTATACATATACATAACATTGAAGGGAGTTGTTTGAACCGAGAGAGTGACAGTATGCACACGCGTGCATGTGCCAGGGAGCGGTGCTCTTGTGTGTGCTCTCGTTCATTTGCCGATGCGAGCAAAGATCTTAGCGCGCACCGCCGGCTGCATGAGCATTGGTCCGTGCAGTCATGAACAGCTACATACCTTCACAGTTTGTGTCACATCAAACGTCACCAGCCACATCGGAGAAGTCCGCCAGCGGCAGCTTCCCACACAGTTTCCGAGCGAGCTCCAGAAGCCTCGGACTGGTCGGCAAAGGAGGATCGGGGAACGGGAACAAGCCCAGAAGTTTTTGAAAACCCTGCAGTTCTCTGACTGCGTCCGCTCATGGACACGAGGGTAGAAGGAAAGGGGTGCAGAGAGGTGGGCTGTTTTGAACGTGTTACTCAGTCACAAAGAAATAGTGCCTTTCATGGAAATTCACAAGCGTTGCATGAAGAATTCCGATGAAGCGAAACACTAGACCCTGGCTCCATGTGTGTTGCAACTACACATGCGCGATAGATTTCAGACAGAAGAGTCGAACTGTCTGCGGGTTGTCAGGCCAACGTCTGTTCATAAGAGGCGAACGTTGGATGAAGCTGCACCACATCAATGACAACTCCAAAGAAGCTGGACCGATGGCTTGGGTCACCATGCCAAAAGTCAATCCGGCCACGATGAGACCATCCAACATCGTAATGACTGCTCAAAAATCCGGGCGGTTTTTTTCAGACAAGAGACACATCGTCTGCAATCTGATGCACCAGCTCAGGCGGGGCTTCCCCCACCTCCTGGAAGGCTACAAAAGGAACGGTGACGGCGCAGCTTCTTGAACGTTTATCTTCGGGACACCCCCATATTAGCCCTGCTTCGCAATAAGTTTTAAACCCTCTCACTCCGAGCCGAGCGTCGGTGAACTGGTCCTCTGTGCCGAGTCTCACGTGGACTTTATGCTTCCTGTCCCCGTGGTCTCAGAGTTACTTTGGTTTGGCCCTGCGTCAGTGTCTCTAATTCGACGTCTTCGAGATTTCTTCTTGTTGGCACGAATCACAGGCGAAAACAAAACAAGCTAAGGGCTTTTAAGCTTCCATGGCCTCTCCGACAGGACGTTTGACACCCGGTGCACGTGGATGGACGCGAGGACGAACTTCTCCGCAGGCACGGGGCCTCGGTTGTGACGTGAGGCCGTGAAGCCCTGGCATCCGCGGCTCTCTGTGCCGAGGCGCCAGGAAGATGAAGAGAGCCACGGGCAGAAGCTTTGGCTGGCGGCTCCTGTGCTCCGAGCCATTTACTCGGGCTGCATTCAGACCTATGCGATCCCCATGGCTCCTCCTTCAGCGGAGACCACAGGAGCTCCAGCTCAACGGAGCGTGTCTCAGCTGTGTCCTGGTGCGACTAGGAGTGGCCATGGGCTTCACGAGTAAGGATTTACACTGCCCTGGCTTGATCTGACGCTATTTTTCAGTAAACCTGCAGGCGGCCACGCACCGTCTACGATGCACTTGCCTCCGTCCCGGCATCCACGAGGGGCACCTTCTGTGCATCCCAGCAAAGCGGTGATCGATGCTTTGCAAGAAGGTCTCTTCGGCACTGCTGATACCTTGTAGGACGAAATTAGTGTGCTTTACAGAACCCAGAAGGAAGCAGACATCCTGTCACCGCCTTGACGGAATTTTTCTTTCAAGCTCTAAAACTCGACTT